AGTTGGAGTTAGAGTTGGAGTGGGGATTTAGAAAAATGGAGTAGAGTTGGTCGGAGTTGGAGTTGCACATAGCCGGAGTTGCCCATCTCTGATTCTATGTTATCTAGTAGAAGAATTCTCTCTCTCTTTAGATATTTCGGATTATTTCAGTCAGAGACTTATAGATTATGCATCACGTTCAACTGATCCAACTATTACTAATTATTTATTAGAAAAAATAAACAATAATAATATGTTTAGGAAAAAATAAAGAGAAAAACCAAAACTTTTAGAAGTTATCATTGAAAAAAGTCTAGACAATAAAAAAAAATCCTTGATCAAAGAGAAAAAGATGATGAAGAATATTCAATGAATATGGATAAAAGTCTTTTACCTACTTTATTTTGTATGATTTCAGCTCAAGAAGATATTAAAATAATGTCAAATTTTCTTAGAGAATTTCTTCAATTAAATATACTCGAATCTGTTGGATTATGATTTTCGTTCTGCAGCACATGTTGCTGCTGCTGAAGATTGAATTGAAACAATTCAGTTTTTGTCTGAATAATGTCAAATTTTTGTTTTTGATAAAATAATGAATAGAAAAGATCGATGGAATTTATCACCATTAGATTAAGCCTATCCTAATGAATATATTAATATTTTGAACTTTTTTTAATTAAAAATTAAATAATCAAACAAATTAAATTTCAAATACAATATTCAATTAAAAACAAATACAATTAAAAAATAATGTTACTCTTCGTCTATTATATAAATCGAAGAAAATATTTCTTTTTTCTACTTTACCTTCAACTCGTGCAGTTGAAAGAATTTACCGATTATTTTATCGGCGCTATTTTATTGAAATTAAACTTTACGCAGATAATCATGGTCGGACTCCGATGCATTTTGCTGCAGCAAAATGGACATTTAAATTTAATACATATATTTATTCAACATAGATTTCAAGATGAAATACAATTCGATAAAATTATAGATCAATTAATACAACTCAAATTATGATTAAAAAACGAATTTTCAACTCAATTTCTTTCATTTATCACTTAAACATTAAAATATTGACTAAAAAACTTTTTTTCAAACAATAAAATACAATACGTGTATATTCATTGTTATAACCTATCATTTACTAACAATGCATTAAATTTAAAAAAAAAAACAAACTCTTAACAATAATTGATTTATAAAAAAATAATAACTTTCTCACTCTAGCGATCAGTCACAAATTATATTACTCTCTAGTCTTTATTCTATTCTATTATTTCCCTCGATGTTCGTTCATCACTACCCTTATCACCATCGTTTCTTATATATTCTTACTATGGAGTTCATTTCAACTCTACCCCTCCAAATTTCTTCCTATGCTCAATCAATTTTCAAAAAGAAGATCTTCATCGTATCGGTCAACCTATTATTCAACAATTACAACGTGTTCAATACAAGCAACATTATGTTCATCCGCCATGTTCGCCTCATTATTTATCAAATCGTTCTTCTCCATTTTCTCCAATGGAAGAAAATTCAACACATATCCCTCTACTTATGAATCTACAACAACAGTCGTTGAACGTACGTCCTTTGATAGATTTACCACAAGCCACCCCGATCTCAGCTTCCACATCTACTCCAAGACGTCCAGCAAGCGATAGCTTCAATAATGGAGGTGAAAAACATCATCATATGTCGAAACGTATTAGAATTAACGGTCAATCTTCACGCAATCAATAAGCCCATCAACTCACCCCAAACAAACACTCGACAATAGTATAATCACTTCACCAAGAACATTCTTAAAAGAGCCGTATCAAGTTTTCTTCCTTCATTTTTCATTATTTTTTATTCTTCATTCGATCAATCCTCCATTCCATCAAGTATACAGATAGAAATTATGTTGAAAAAATATTTTATTGACAACCAACTGAATTTTTGTGAATTACCATTTTGTGTACAAGCTGGGAACAGACGTTTCAAATTTGCAGTGACTGATAAAGAAGACTTTTTAACACTTTTCAACTGGCAATGACCAGATGTAATATTTGATAAACAAATAGAAATTAAGAAACCTTACAAATTACCTGATTGATTATCAGTTGTTGGTCGTTTTATATCAATGGATATTAAAGAAAATGAAACAATCTCAGCTGCTCTCTCATTTTCTACTATTCATTATCAACATCGTAGAATTTCAACATATGATGGACGATTTGCTGTTCGCAATCTTGACTAATATAATACAACATTAGAATTGAGTCGTATCGCTATTGGACAACACTATCTGACCCTCACTCATTATTTTCAAGGTTATCAATTAACCTATTGTACAGCTTGCTGGAAGTTTGATCATCGAAGAGACAAATATTTATCTCGAATATGTTCTCGTAAATGTTTAATCCCATTTACTAATGGTCTTCAGCATTATTGTGAAGCCGATACACTTATTTGTACACAATGTGATGACAAACACTTCTCTTTAGCCTCCATATGCCAAATAGTGAAACAATACAAAAAGGATCTTAAAATTGCCATTGATTAAGCATTAGCTACAGGCAAAATTAGAAGAACAAAACCCGCTCATATAACTCGACTGTTCATTCTGCTAACTAATGACTTTTCAGAATTAACACAGCCAAAAGTAAGTCATCATCCAGCATGGGCTGCAGCTAAGACCAAAGAAAAAAATTACAATCTCGAAAATGAGATAAAGGAATTAGTATCAGCTACTAAAGTCTTGTCTGACACTATTATTCGAATAGAAAAAAATCTTTGTGAAATTAACAAACGTATTGATAATCAAGATAATCGCATTTTGCTACACAGTAATGGCATAAGTCCAATCGTAGATACGTTACAGTTAATATCGAAATGGGTGCAGGTGAACAACTTAGAAAGATCAAAGATGAAAAAGAACATTGTCAAAGTTATTGATCACCTGAAAAAATGGAAATCACAACTGCATCAGAACAAAGGTAAAGCATCTAACTTATCATCCCCATCTCACCAATCAACTAAAACAATCAACAACAACATTAACAATATCATCAACATTTCCAACAAAGTAGAAGATTACGTCGAAGATCACTCTATGAACTCTCCAGGCCATAATGCTTGACTCTCTCTCAAACTTAAACGTTAATACCCCTCATTTTTTCTCTTCTTTCTTTTTACCATCTTGCTTCCCTACAATTTCACCTTTAAACATAGCCTTAGACAGACTACAAAATTGGAACTTCCCCTTGAAGTGACAGAAACGTATTTTTCCAATCTTAGAAGAATAATATTCTAATAATACCTTAGACAAAGTGTTATCCATTTGGGAAAGTCAGGCTAATCCCATAGCTTCTAAATTCATTCCATTGAACGTACTTACGTATAATGTTCAAGGATGGGACTCACGAGCACTAGAAGCGATAGACTTGATATTTAAAGTAGACAGCCCTGTGTGTGTTTTTACAAAAGTAGGAGAGCTATGGAATAATTTCAAAATTTCACACTTTACGTCTTTTTATCAAAAAGATATCAATCACAGTGGTGGAGTGATGATTATGATTGGAAAATATATCCGAGCAACAAGGATTGATGTGAGCACAGAAAACACAGGGATTGTTGATTTTATCGGTCTTAATAAGCAGATACGTATAATAAGCATTTATTGGTCCCAATTTCAATCACGCAATCTAAATGATTTACTACCCTTCCTAATAAAAAAATACTATTTTAACGGGCGATTTCAACGCAACAACGAAAGAATGGGGCACTTTATCTACTGACAAACGAGGTGCTAATCTGAAAAAATGGATCGAAGAAAATGACCTTGTCTTTTTACCTACTAACTCACCGTCGTCCAGACGTTCCAATAGACACATTGACCTAACTTTCACTAACATCAATAATGTCAAAAATGAAACAATAAAATACGGTACTACCGATCATTGGCCAACTGCGTTGACAGATCATAATGTAGCCTTTATAACCAATGGTTTTTTCTCTCACATAGATTGGAACATCTACCAGACTGTGTTAGTACTCTTAGAAGATTACTGGAAGAGAGAACTGAAAATTCAATCATACGACGAATGATACCAACACTATATTAGATTTTTGACAGCTTTAAAATGCAGGCTGACTCATTGAAAGAAAAAAGAAAAGTATCGCCCCTCCCTTCCCCCAACTATCTTGCAGCAACTTCGAGAAGTGAGACAGGTACGAAATAAATACTATAGAGAAAGAAAGATTACCGGAGTTGACAACGAGGAACTTAGAGTATTATTACGAACTATGTCAAGAGACATTCGAAATGAGATTTATAAATATAAATCAGCAAGGTGGACTGAATTTCTAACATCAATCAATTGTAGTAATGATAAACAAGAAAATCTATTCTGGGCACATCTCTCAAAAATCTACAAAATGAAATCGCTGCCATTTTCTAAACTCCAGGTAGGAAATAGCATTATTTCGGATGAGCAACAGATAACAGACGAACTTTTTAAACATTTCAGAGAGCTATCTAAAGCCTCCAAAATTGACCTGTCTAATCCCCACGACATACAGGTAGAAAGAGAACACAAAGAGATACGAGATCTCCTCGACGTTTCAAATGGAATTGAATTGGTACCCACATCTAAAAGAGAAATAACGATGTTTATTAAAAAGATGAAAGGAAAGAAGCTGTTCGGGCATGACAAGGTGTCCAACTATATCATCAAACTTCTCTCCTCCTCCCCCCCCTGTACGTTGAATGTCTTATGCATTGTTCCAACACATGGTTGAAAGAATGCAGATACCCAAACTTTTGAAAAACTGCCAAGGTTATCACGCTAAATAAACTTATAACTGACGTTCCTCGATGTAACCAGACCAGACCTATCTTCCTTTTAGCTACTCACTCCAAACTCTTCGAAAAGGTGCTTCTAGATAGGATTAGAAGCTGGAGTGAGGGTAATCGTATTATACCTAGTGAACAATCAGGTTTTAGAACAAATTGCCATCTCTCTACCAGAGTACTATACATCTATCAAGAAGTAAAAAACAACTTAGCAGCAAATACACCAACATTAGCCATTTATATAGACTATGAGAAAGCGTTTGACCTGGTCTGGCACAATGGACTTTTTGTCAAGTTGCACAGATTAGACATGCCACTTAATCTCCTGAAAATTATAACAAGTTGGTTGGAAGACCACACAGCTTATATATGCTTCGGTAAAGATAAATCGGATATCTTCAATGTTCAAGTCGGTCTTCCTTAAGGTAGTAGCTTAAGCCCCTATATCTTCATAGTTTATCATAGCGATTTAGTAACCTGTTTAGGATCCCACTCTGACCATATCTTCGCATACGACTTGAGTATTTTTATTCGAGCTCCTATTCAAAAATTCTTCTCTTCGTTAATCAAGTATCTTGAAGTAGAAGGAAATGAAGTATGTAACAGAATTGCAAACTACTCCCTACTATGGAAACAATCAATCAACGTAGGTAAGACTGTAGCATAGATCTTCTATTCTAAAATTACAATACCAACAGTTTATATATAGATGTTAGGTCAGAAGATAAAGATAGTTAATACGTTTAAATATTTAGGGTTTACCTGAACAAGCAAACTATTACTAAAGCCCACCGTAAATAGATGCTTGGAGAACATTCATAAATCCCTACGTAAGTTGAAATGGCTGCGAACGGACAAAACACTGTCCACAGACATATTAAGAAGATGATTTTTTGCCTACTCCTTCCCACATTTTTCATGGATCTTTCAATTTTTTCCATTCCTCCCTCAAACCCAGAAAGAAGCGCTGGAAAGTAAATTTAGAGTTGCAATACGCCTTGTTCACCGTGCTCCATTCGTTAGTACCACCAACCTGTTTTCATTCAACCATGAACAACCCCTTACAAGTTATATCAAACGATATATTTCAAAACGATTAAAAAATATCTACTCAATCGATTTAGGCACCTCATTGTTTGTAGAAGACATTTTCTTCTGGGATAATTTTCACAAACTGTCCAAGGACGCAGTAAAACATTTCTTTACACTGAAACGTGTTAAGATATTAAAAATCAAACACCATTCATTACTCCTAACATGACTAGAGTTTGTCAATCAATAGAACAAGTCGTTCACATTCCTTCCTAAAAATTCTTCCCGACATAAAATCGAAACTCTGAAAATCAGCTAAATCTTAGCAAATGTACAAAGTTGCAAATATCATCATTTCCTCTCTTCAACATTCTACTCTTTTCTTTCTTTTTCTATCCTTTTGTTTAACTTGCGTTATCTACGCCTCCTAGTACACTCCTTCCTTGACTCTTTTCTGTTACATTGTTGTTACTCTACCTATTATTTTGTATTCCTCTTCTACATTGTTAACCGTCGCATTTAAAATGTTAGTGTTTTCCTCTTTTTTTTTCCTGGTCATCTTTGTGTATCCCATTTTGTAAGCACTTACGAGTGTTACAATAAAATAAAGGTCAAACCAAAAATAAGAAAATAATAAAAAATATTTTTTGTTATACAGAAATCAAACAAAATATATATAATAGATTTAATTTAAATAATAAAACAATTTGAAAAAAAAAAAATAAATTTTAAAATCAATAAAAATCCAATTTCGAGATAATATACTCTCTTCTACGTATATGTCTATCAATATTTTATTTTATAATAATTTAATTAACAATAAATTATTCATCATTCAAATACACAACATATTTTGTATATAAAAGAAATA